CTTAATACCACCTATGGTTCGTTCGACACACGCGGTGTCTCTATGGTCGTTAATCGGGGAATATACAAACTCAATTCCCTCGGTGTTACACAAATCCTTACCTACTTTTGAGGTAAAAATTGACCCTTGATTCATATAAGTTTTCCGAGGGACCCCATGCGTGTTTATGTATTTGGAAAGGAATTTTAGGACCTTGTCCGATTTACTTTTTTTACATATCATTGCTGATGGCTATCAGGTAAACCGATCGACCGCTACCAACACGTATTTGTCCGTTTCGTTTAAATACTTGATAGGGCCCCAGAAATCTAGCTGAATGCATTCATTCAATTTCCTAGACTCATCCCTGTGCATTTTTTTATGCATAGGGTTTTTAAGTTTTTAACTGCCGCTATGCACATTGCACACTCTTTCGCGGCCAACGCCAGGCTTCGATGAGTATACGGAATCAAATGTTTTTCTCTGCGTCAAACACTCTGGCTTTCCCGTGGTGATAGCTATGGATCCGATTGATGATGGGTCGCGTAACGGGATGGGAATAGCCAGCCGTCCAGCCATCCAAAGCCAACCGTCCCTCACATGGAAGTCATTACCGTACTGCGCCAGGTAGCCGCCCATGGCTCTCACTTTTTCCGCAAAATTTGAGTCCTTCAGTACTAGCATGTTGCGAATAGCTTCTAATTGTTTTTTCCGCTTTATAATTTGCCTCCACCAGCTTGAGGTTGAACAACTCGGGTAAACAAACCTGCATCTTTACTAGCTTGCAGTCTCTTGGAGTCCCACTCATTATATTGTTTGCAGGGTACAGTGGCGGGTAAACCTCCCCTGTAAACTTTGAAGGAATCGAAATAATCGCGTTGGTTTTTGGCTCTACCGTTCCTGTGATTCTGGCCTCCGTGTGTGATTTCACCACCTCTATTTCCGACGAGTTTTCACTGCTTGATACGATATCTGGATATTTGCGAACAAGTTTGTTCATTTTCTTTAAAGAGGTATTCATTTTGGAAGAAGTAAAATAAAAAGGATTACTTAGCTCACACTCCACAGTAATAATTACTTAGCTCACACAGTAATAATTCCAACTGTTTTGTCGGTTTTCCAATTTAAGTCCCTTGATATGCAAATACAAGCATACTGATGGGCTGTCATTTCGCCGCATGCATATGAGCCTTCATCCGGCGCCAATTGATGCTTGTATTTGCATATTGATTGGCTGAAACAGAGATGAGCCGTTATTTCCAGCCATTGAGCTTGATGCTACTGGAGTAAAACCGAGCAATTTGATGATCAAATTAGTTTTCTCAACTGTAAAAGTGTTATCGTATCTACTTATTCCTTGGGCTTTCCCTACCGGATGTCTTGAAAGGTTGTCAGTGAGTCCGATTTTCGACCTCGGCACATGTTCGATGACAAAATCAAACGGAGTGACACGATCAATCCACCGGGTCAATCGACAAAAAATTGTCCTCATTTCCTTGTTGTTTCAGTTAAGTAATAGGACGAGCGTTTTATGGTCGGTTACTACCGTAATTTTCCTTCCAAACACTTAATTTTGAAAATATTCTGCCCTTATACTACCGCCAGCATTTCCAACTCGTTTGTGGAATTTTTTCTTTCCGCCGCGTTTAAATATCTTGAAGCAAACGAGATTGGCCGCCAGACCTCGGGGCCTAGTTGCTCAAGCACCGCCCCTAGTCCATTATGGCTGGCATCGCACACAATACGAATATCCTTGCGTACGTTGAAGTGCTTTAGTTCAACTATATTTGCGATTTGTGTTTTAAGGTCCTCAAACGCGAGTTGGATTTCTTGCTGAGCAACGGCCGGAGGGGCGCTGACGTTTCTGCAAGTGCAGGCGAAAGTTTATGGAGGCTGTGTATCGGGCCCATAAAATATTTCAATTGCGACAGTGTTTGTGGCGGTTGCAACTTGTCTATAGGTTCCGTTTTCCGAATTAGCGTAGTGGTTCCGGAGGCATTTGTTTTTATCCCCTAACCACTCGCATTCTAACTTCGCAAAATCGCCTTTCTGTAGTTTGAGGGCCAAATTTTCGCGATTCAATTTTCTCAAATTTTTCTCGACGTTTGCAATATGTTCTGTCTCTGTGCTTTTTAGAAAACCAGAATGTCGTCAATGATTGCATACCCATTAGGAAATTCATTTCAATATGGAATCCATTACCTGTTGGAATTCCGCCGGCATCGTGGTTCAGCCGTAAAACCCCGTCTTGAATCAAAATGAACCGGTTGATTTTCCACCCACTAACACAAAGTTTGCACATATCATTACCTAGAGGCAGCTGTCCGTATGCATGTGTTTAAGTCCATGGTCGTAAATCAGACCGTACCCAATTTTCGTTCGCTAACTGTTTGGCCAATTCTATCCATTAGTTATTCAATATTTGGCATTTGGTACTTGTTTTTATGTAACTGATTATTTACCTCTCTTGATTCAAGCGCTAGTTCTACCGAACCGTCTTTTTTACTGTGATAACGATTGGCGACACAAAGTATTTATCCGAACACTCTTCGAGTTTTTCGATATGCCCTTGGCTTCGTATTTTTCCAATCTCCTTGTCAACTTTCTCTTGAAAAGTGATCGGAACGCGTCTATTTTTCTGTTCCACCGGCATTAGTGCTTTGAAGAAATCAGCCTGCACTTTATAATTGGGAATTCGCCATGCCCTTTTAAATACTTTATATAATTGCTTTCTGAAATGCAGTTGCCATTCATCCAACGATGTATCCTCCTGTTGCTCCGCGTGCCCTAGGATATTCATGACATATCCCGCGGCGGCTTGGACCAGCTGGAGACCCAGCAGTGGCATCAGATACCGTCCAATGATCGATGGTCTACAACCTCCGATTACCTTGATGTACGTCTCTGTCGATCATCCATTCGACGTCAACGTCGCCTTCATTTTCCGCATGAATTTCAACGGATTGTTTCCATAATTGCGGAACTGGTCGTCATTCGAGCTCAAAGGTAATAATTTGACACCCGCTTTCCCCATGGTTTTCCGCAATTCACCGATGGTGAAGACCAAAATTGGCGACCCACTATCGATCCACACCGTCGTCGTCTTCCCGTTGATCTTCAATGGCAATTGTACCGGGCTACTTTAAATTCGCGCTCCACCTTGTTTTTCTTAATCGACATGACGATGTAGTCCTCGGAGCTGTCCGAACCCCACCCGCGAGTTTGTGGTGGACAAATGTTTACCCATCCTACCGAAGAATCTTGCCGTGATGCGACGTCATCGTTTTCCGCAAATTGATCATCCCTGTCCATCTTGCCGTGAATAAGTTCAACCCGTCCGCGCTTTGCGCCTCTCTTCCCGCGGCCTGTCTTTTTGCAATAATTGCATTTTGCATTGCGAGCTGGACATTTTGAAGCCTGCTCCGTGGTAAAATTTGCTCGGTCGCCGTTAAAGCAACGTTTCTCCGCCCCGCCTCTTGTGTTTCCTTGGAATAGTCCCTTTGAACCCCGTTGAGAAGGCCTTCGAAACCCCCCTCGGATAGAACGATGGGTTCGGCCTTTACTTGTAAGGCATCTCCTGGCGTGTAGTCCCCCACCGGTAATTTTGTAACTCTTTGCATACTTATTGCCCCTTTCGTACGATAACGCAATCTTGTACACTTCGTACGGTGTTTTAGTTGACCTGTATATTTTCGTTTGTGCCTCCTTGTTAGTCATGTTTACTATAAAAACGTCGCGTAAGATCCGCCGTTCCAATGTGCCAAGACTACATATCGCCGCGAGTCCCTTTAGCACCGAATGAAATTGTTCGAGCGACTCCCCTTCTCTCTGCCTGCGCGACAAAAGTTGGTGGGTTTCGAACGTTTCATTTCTCTCCTTCTTGAAGATTTCTTCAAATGCATCCAGTATTCGAGGGTACCTAATAGTAGCCAAATCCAAATACGGTTTCCAGTTTTCGGTTGTGAAGCTCGTCCTGACCAAGTTCTCTAAAGCATAAATACATGTTAGAAATAAGTGTTTTTTTCCGCTTCGACCAGGTTTTTCCCCAACACCTCCGCGCGTCCCTCGACGTTTTTAAAAAGTAGTACGACGTCGGGATAAACGCGTGCTTGGCAATCACGTCCCAGGTGAATTTATTGATCCAATGTTCCCACAACACTGGAGGTTTCGCATTTTCGCTCGGCCAGAATGCCGTAATGCCCAGTGGATTTTTTCCTCCCCGAACGCCGTTTGCTGCTGGCTGCACCATGTTGAAAACGTTTCTCCAGTACAGTAAATTCCAAAATTAATGATGTTATAAAAATTTTAATCTATACGAACTCAGACGGTTAACTGTTTTAGCACCACTAGAGAGTAACAACGCCACTGGCAGGTATCAATTATTGACCATCGAGGTCACTGCCACAACTGACTGTAAACTGAACTAAACATAAATATTTTATATATATGACAAATTATTTAGTAGAGAAACAACCAAGGTTTTGGGCAAAGTCTATTTTTTGAAATTATGCATTTCGTACCGCATCAAATTTTTAAACTCGAAAAATATGAAACACTTGCCTTCAGTTTATGCTACTCCCCTAGTTGTTTCTTTTTAATTGAGTCATACAAAATTTCTGGTTCACATTTTTGGGAGCCGTTGGGTCGGTGGGGGGTCGAATCTCTGAGAAAGGGGCGTCCGCCACCTCCCCCCCCCCTTAATCGACCCCTGGTATTGAATGCGCTGAGGCAAATCAAAATTGAAATAAATCAAGAGATTTAAGCAAAATATAGGCCCAATTGTTATTACTTTTTTTGTTAAAAGTAGGTTTTTAAAAACAATAAGCCAGGGAAAAATTAATTTAATGAAACAATAATTGGCAGATTATAGCTACTAACTATATAGCTGTTAGCGCTGTAATATAATGAAAACACAATTCGGTGACATCGTTTATCTTAAGTTGAATATAGTAATTCTAAACTGCTAACTGCGCATTTTTTTGCCTTTCTAAATTTGATTACCTCTTCAGTATCGATTTTATTATCAGCTATATTCAACTTCTTTTTATTGAAATTTGATTGACGTATTTGAAAAATAAATAGTAAAAAAATGATTGGTAATATTATAAATACTAGATTTAAAATTAATTCGATGTAATAGGTTTAAAGTTCAATGGAGTTCATTTGTCCTCCATGCTTTTTCCCATTTCCATACATAGGACCATACTAAGTTCTGCTTTCTGAAGTTTCCCGTCTCGGTTCAAATCACAGATGCGCAGAAGAACTCTTCGATATTCCTCCAATTCAGAAGCCGCAACGTCCTAAAAGTTGAACAAAAATTAGGTTGAGCGATTCTTTATTCATTGGGAATGAAAGGTACTCCACAGTCTTGTCAGTTTTTTCCATGCATAATTGAATAGCTTAAAGAAGCTTCGTACAAAATTGAGTGATGTATCAGATCGAAACCTTTCAGTCGTAATTTGAGCTGCAAATGGAAACTTCCTGAAAAACTGTCACGATAGCGATAAAATGAGATTTGAAAAATTAGATTTTAGACGGGAGCTGATCTAGGATTTTCTTGAGAGGGGGGATTTTCAAAAATTTTTCAAAAATTTTTTGTTCACTTTTTTTTAGGTCGACCAAATTGATTTTTCGAGCACTCCCAGAGCAGTAAGAGACCATACTTTAAACAAACATTTTGCGCTGCATGCAAACTTTTGAAAAACAGGTCAAAAAGCCTTTTTTCGCCGCGCGCTTCCTTCAAAATTCGTTTATATTGGCGCTAACGGCGCATTTAGAAAATTTTTAGGGTGGGTTGGCCTAAAATGAATGTCATAAAATAATAACAAAGGGGGGACCCTTTGGTTGGTAAGGGGTCGAATCCCTAGAGGGGGGGCGTCCAATTTTCCCCCTAAATTCGCCCCTGATTTTAGAAAAAAGGCAATGAATTTTGGTGATTGTGTTTGCAGCACATAACGTATAGGAGTTAAAGTTTTTTGAAGCAAATTTTTTTAACCCCATTTTTTAAATTTTCTGTTAAATTTAAAAAAAATTCAAAGTTTAAGTCATCATCTATTGGTATTCTTCGAACTGCAAGATGCAATAAAATAGCTGGTCGGAATTTTTTTTTGAAAACCTCGAGTGTAGTTATGCCTCTTAAATATCCCTAAGGTTTGGTTGCGCCTCCTGATTGTCACGTTCCATTTGTCTTCCATTTGTCTCTTTAAGTTGCGAGCATGTATTTAAACAACCGTCCAACTTTAATGTCCAAAAATTGTTTTAAGTCACGCACAAGCAATGTCCGTCAAAAAATTCGAATGAAAAAAAAGTTGGTTGTAGAAAAAATGGAATATATACTCTGCAAAAAAAAATAAAAATTGGTTTTAAGTTTTCAAGTGCTCCTTTTACGTGGAAAAAGCCATAGTTGAACGATACGAAAATTGAATTGATGAGTAAAATACTTTTTCTGCTGAAACAATTAGAAAAACTTTTGTACAAGAACAAGACTGCTCGTATTTCCGGACGAAGCCTTGATTATTCCGACAGCGTTTTAAGATCAAATTTAAAAAAAAATTGATTGAAAAATTGATAAATGGAAAAATTGAAATAAAATGAAAAAAATACATACTTTTGAAAATTGATACTTTTTGTGAAAATCATACCCCCACACGCCATATAAAGTACAAAGTAATGAATTTTGCTCCCAGTAACAAATCAATTATGGCAAATAAGCTTCCTTCAACTAAATTGGACTGATTTTTAAAACGGATTAAATCTCCGCTTACGCGTTAATAGCGAGAAACATATAGCGCGTTAATTGTCCCAAATTGGCCAAAATGACAACCTTTAAACCCCCCATAACTTAACGAAAAAAGATCACAGGTGATATATCTTTTCAAAATTGAGCTCAAGACAACAATATCTTTCGAATGATATAAAAAAAATTTGTCAAAAAAGGGCTCGTTAAAAAGTCGAAACTTGTCTGAAGAAAAAACACCTCGAGCACAAATATTGAAGCTGGAAAAATTTTAAAAAGTATTTATGTGCAATTTCATTATCATCAATTTGAAATTATTAATTGTATTAGGGCCTGCTTATTGGTGGAAAGAAGTCTTCAAATTATAAAAGTGAGAATTTGTTCGGCTTTCCGTAGTTTATTGTAGTACATTTTATATCTTAAGGCTCGTTAAATTTAGAACCAAATTCACAGCAAATGCGCTACAGCGCCCCTTTTTGCGGCGAGTGTTGCGAAGATTTTGGCAACGAATGAGTCACACAGTGAATTATTACACTGAGGAACCAAAATCCCAAAAGTTTTAGACTAAACCAGAATAATTGTGTGAAATTGAATTCGGAAAATACTCATATAGAGAAGAGGGTCCTTAGTTTCATAAAACAAAAATTTTTTTTCTAATGAGGAAATGGTGTTCTTTAATTTGGTAACAAAAAGCAACTTGGAAAATTTGACAGCTGTAGTAGCAAACAAGTCAGTTAGAATGGTAGATTATAACAAAAGCAGCTGGAAAAAAAACGGATAGCCGATTGCTGCGCATGTTGCAAATTGAAGTTTTTTTTAAATATAAAAAAAATTAAAAAAACTAAACAGTCGGAACAACAAGGCTGCTCGTATCAAGGGGTAGCCTTGAATGTTACTATTGCAATTTAACTTCTATGGAGTAGTTAACATTAAGTTAATTGATGAAAGTTTCAAAAAATGAAAAATTATATAAAAATGAGTTTTTTTTTGAAAATCATCACCCCACACGCTATGTAAAAACTAAAGCCATGTATTCTGTATTTAGCAAAGTATTAAATAGACCAAACAAACACCATACATCCAATTTGGAACAATTTCTACAACGAATAAAATCTCCTCTTTATGCATTATTAATAGCACAAAATATATCGCGCGTTAAATGTCCCAAAATGGCAATCTTTAAACCCCCATGATCACAAACTTAATAAAAAATAATCACAAGATCTTTTTAAAATTGAGCTTAGGATAACAATAACTTTCGAATGATAAAAAAAATTTCTGTCAAAAATGGTTAGTTCAAAAGTACAGATTTGTCCACCCCGAGCACAAATATTTGTCATTTTCTTCGAAAATTGTCGGAACATCACAAGAATGTTTTTTTAGCGTGTCGTTTCGTAATTATTAGACAAAATAATTTGCCCCCGTTAATTTGGAACGCATTCAGTCGTAGCTTACATGTGCTCTGTGGGAACGTAATAACGCGCATTATTTTTTTTCGAAACAGCGATTTTGAAACCCCCATAACTTTACGAAAAACAATCATGGATGAAATTTGTTTTAGATTTGAGCTACAGACAACAACATCTTCCAGGAAGAGTAAAAATTCCGTCAAAAATGCAAGTTGAAAAACAAAAATTGACTGAATGAAACAAACCAACTCAAGCATAAATATTTCGCAATTTCTTCCAAAGCCGGATCAATTGGATACAGACGACACGTAAGACCAAACAGCCTGCATCCAGATCCATCATTTGTTTGCCAGCTTGCTTGCGATTCTCAAAAAAAATACTGTCGTGCTTGCAATGACCATTAAGTGTTTGTGTTTAGGTATTCGCGTGGGATCTCTCGAATACAAAATTATGTGATTGTTTTCCGATATTCAGCGCTACAATTATTGCAACAATCATTTTACTATGTCATAAAATCATTGATTTAACCTGGTTTTCGTGTTCCATTAGGTCCTTCAGGAATCCTGCCAGTTCGTCTCCTTGTATGACACCATTGCCATCCTAAAAACAATTTTCACATCACATCTCCACATTTAAAGCAATAGTTTGTTTCCTACATAGATCAAATAAGAAAAAATTGGGTTCGAAGATATCTTTTTTTTTGCGCAGAAGGTGTGTCGGTTACGTAGCAGTATTTAGGCAACCGCGTATTCAGACTGGTCAGTAAGCAGACAAATACTGTATTAACCAATCAGAATCGCGAGAAGGAAGAAATGAATAATTAATAGTTATTTATATCGTAAATTTGCTTACTCATCTCGATTCTGATTTGTTAATACGGTATTTGTCTGCTTACTGGCGAGTACGAATACGCGGTTGTCTAAATACAGACCGCTTTCCGGTGTTGTCGCACTAATTTTTTTTTTTCATTTTCATAGCAATCCAGTTGTTCACGTGAACAAATTTGCAATATAAATGATGTCACGCTCTGTCATTCTGGCTTTTTGAGCGTACACGTCAGAATTACGTAAATTGACAAGTGTCTGTTGAATAATCTCTGATATGGAAACAATTTATTATGATTGATTGTTTTTCTTTTCACCAACAGTAAGGCATAAAAAGAAAGGTACCGTGTCGTAGTGGTTGAACACAGTGTTGAATTCTTCTTTGGTGAGATTGGGTTTGTTCTGGAACTGAACCAGGAAGTTCTCCTGTACCGGCAACAACCTACATAAAGACCAACACCATTAGCAAAAAGAACAAAAGAATATGAGAGGAAATTCTGTACTTGTTACGTCATGACCCCCTCAATTCTGGTTGGCAAATATTTCCAATAAGGTCTCCCTTTGGGTTGACTGATATCAAAATTCTTCGAAAGGACCTTAAATTTCAAGGAAGAGCGTAAACGTCATTTTTGAGCTGTTCTTTTTTCTTCAAAAGTTCGTCTGCGGCGCGGAAACTTTTGGCAAAATAGAGTCTTTATAAGGTTTTAAGAGGGCACGGAAAATCAAATTGCTTGACCTAAAGAAAATGTTTAAAAAAATCGACCAATCTACCCCTTAGCCACAGTAAGTTTAGGCAAACTGAAAAAACTAAATTAATATAGTCATAATTTTATATCAAATACTCTTCTTATAATGTGTACTTCGAAGTTGTTTATAGATGTTTTTGTAGGTTCAGAAAGCAAAAATGAAGTTTACCTGGCCATTTCCTGCAATCCCAATTTGCCATCATTGTTGGAATCGAACATCTGGAGCTGCAAATGATGATAATATGATGAACAAAAATATTTAGCCGTGAAGTGAAAAAAGTTTCATCTTGATTTTTGTTTGTTTTTGAGCTTACAATAGTTTGTGCGTATTCCTCCAGTCTCTCTTTTGACACTTGGGCTGACTTCTTCTTCAGAACAGAGTGCAAGAAACTCTAAGAAATCACTCCAACTATTGATTTGAAAAAGAACCTTTTCAGAACACGCTAAAATTTGTCCGATCGTTTCTTGAATTTTTTCTACATTTACGAAGCGAGAACATTATTGTCAGCTTCGTCTTGGTTATGTTTTCAGTAAAATTTGCAACATCGAGTTTATATTTTAACAGAGGTTAAGTCCATTTACCCACCGAGTGAAAGAAGAAATTAATTGATCAGAAGCAGCATAGAGTTGTTCAACTCTTGACGAAGAGAAGAAACGCGGTTGTGCGCTGGGTAAAATTTACATAACCATTTTATGACTACTTTTTTTAAGGGCAAGCCTAGTCCAACAACTGAGCTTTCGATTGAATTGCAAGTGAATTTTTTGGCCTTGAATGCAAGTCAATTAGTAAATAAACAGTCGGTTAATTTCCAACATCGACTTTGGTTATGAAATTTTTTTCACAGTTGTTCATCTCTATCTAATCAGAACATGGCACATTTCGTCCCTCATTTATTCCCACCCCCTACATCCCCCCCCCTATTTTCGGCGGTACAACGTGAAATGTTTGAAGAGCACCCAACCGTGTCTAACCTTGAGTTCGTTGGAGTCTATGAATCCATTTCTGTCTTTGTCGTGCTCCCTCCATATCTCCATGAACTGCACACTGTTCAGCTCCTGCTCGTGTTGGAACAGCAGCAGGAAGTTCTCCTCCACCGGAAGAATCTCACCCAGCTGAACAAAATTTGCCCCTCAACTTTTAATATTGATAGTCGAAATTTGTCCAGACAATCAGACATTAGACAAAAATTGACCGGAGCAAATGTTACTTTGAATTTTACCAGCGTAAATATCGAGTAACAGTTGCGAACCACTAACCCACTATTTTAAAACGAGTAATTTTGCTCCTTTTAGTCAATCAGAACTACCTGATTATTTGTTGGGAAAATTATTTCAATTTAAGCCTCTTATGTAGCCCAACCAAAACTAACAAAGGCATATTCTTCAAAAATTGGCGCAAAACATTTATAAATGGTTTCAAACAAAAAAAAATGACATTTTGTTATGATTTGGCATTAAAAGGCAAAACTTTCCCTGGATTTACGCTGGATACTGGATTTACGTGTAAAATTGTAGGAGGAGATCTACGAACTTCGTAATTTGGCCTGGCAATGTGTTGAACTACATCAGAGATTTGATTTGCTGTACTTTGCTCAACAATTGAACCGGTAGTTTCAAAAAAAAAACTTTTCATAGAATGAAAAGAGCCAAAAATGAATCTATTTTGGGATTGAAATTTTGGATACAAACTGATTTGTATAATATTGTACAATTATATTTGATTAAAATTATCAAAATTAGGTGTAAAGGATTTATGGCCGATTATAATCGCGAGATTTTCCAGGAGATTATAATCTTTTATAATTGATTATAATTCATACACAAAACTTTTAAAATCAATTACAGTCGATTTTAATCAATCCTATCTTCTTTTTTTGCCAAAATTTTGTCACATCAAAAGCATATTTTAATTTTATCCTATGTTTTTTTAAGCAAAAATCTCTAAAAGCCAGATGTCTTGTCACACTTTGATTCATCTGAACACAAAGTTTTACCACGAAACAAAAATTTCATGGATATCCGTTCATATTAGTTAAAAAGTTTACGCGGTAGGTGAAAAATAAATATTCAAATAAATCATGAAAATAAATCAATAAACTGATGTTTTGATGGTTAAGAAAAACTTAAAATGTGCATCATGAAATAACTCTATGCAACTCTATGCAAAAAAATAAAACTATGCAAGTTTGAACTGATTTGAAACATTTATAAACTTTTTCCTCATTTTCACAAAAACCAACGTCTAAAAAAAGCCTAAATAATAAGCAATTCAGATGAAAAGGTCGAAGATAAAATGCGCAAACAAAATGGCGCCTCCCCCCTCAGGAAATCGACCACCTGCCGACCCGAAGGGTCCCTCCTTTGTACTATTTTTAGATATCCATTTTTGGAGACGAGCCCTAAATTTTTTCTAAAGGCGCTTTTGGCGCCAATATGTACTAACTTTGAGGGGGAGTGCCCGCCGAAAGAACGCAATTTTTTGGTCAAAATTTGCCAAAAACTGCCTAAAAACGCTTTTTTTGGCGAGTTTTTTTTTTAAATTTTCCCTAGCCAAATAAGAATTTCAACCAAATTTTAGCCAAATAAAAAAGTTTGGTCAAACCAGGGTCTTTTTATTGCTTTGGGAAAGCTCGGAAAATTAATTTGGTCGACCTAAAAAAGGTCGACCGAATTTTTGAAATTTTTTTGAAAATCCGCACCCCCTCGAGAAAATCTTAGATCCACCCCTGGTAGGACTAGTGCTAACATCATAATATAATCGATTATTAACGCTTGAAAATGGATGCTCGGTTGTCTTTATAAGTAACAATTTACACTACCGAAAAAATGAATCAAATATTCGTTATCACAAAAGTACAGTTTGTGTATGAATACTCTGCAATTTATTGACTAAGCTTTTTGCTAGAGTCAACGATTATAACAAAATATTAAATTCAGATCAAAACTAGCACTTAAACCCAAGCAAATGATACAAGTTCATACTTTCGGTATGTGAATTTAAAACAAAAAAGAAGTTGGTCGGTCTGGTCTGAATACTACTTCTGTGAACCATTTCGTATTAACACTTCGAAAACATATCCAGTAACCAGTACTTTGTATCCTTCTAAAGTTACTACGGAAAAATATGTCAGTTTATAGTAATTCGGATTTGAATCATTCTGCACTTGAACCCGTTCTGCCGTTGATTTTTTAAATGATTTTCCGTCTATGAGTAGTCAATTTTTTTGCGAGCCCAGAAATAAGCAATTGAAGCTGATTGGTTGAAACATATGAAGCAGACCAGTCATATACTTCGCGCAGCCCAAATTGTAGATATATTGAAAAAGCAAAAGTAAAAATTGTAGACTAAACACAGATATGAATCTGCACTTCGCAAACACAAACGTCAAAGACGGTGAAAAAAGCTGAAATAAGGGAAACTAAAAATAAAAATAATAAAAATAAACCTGGAGATTTAGTCTCAGGTCGTCGCATCTGCGCCATAGTTGCTTGACAATCGTTGAGCAATAGCCACCAATATAGCAGATATTGGTGGCTAGAGAAGATGGTATTTATTTGTCAATGCTTTTATTAGCAAAATTTTCACCAAAAGAGCACTTTTATTTGCGAACTCGCTTGGAAAAAGAAACTTCACAGTATGACACTACACTTGCATGTGGAAACAATGAAGTGGGCATGTCCCAGCTTTTAAACGACAACGTCTAAGCGAGTAAAGAATTGTGACTCGATAAAGAATTGTGAACAGAACATAATTTCAGCACCAACAATTTGCACAAGACAAAATGTAATAAATGTAGATTATAGCTTTGGTCAAATGGTCTGATAAAAAGCTAAACTTGCCTGCCATGGAATTAATGTTGACTGCTGCTGGCTGCATAACTTTTTTTTTTAAAGCCGTTTTACTGCTTTAGCCTAGTATGTAAAACCCACCCAGGAGTTCCGCTTTACATCAGACATGCACTGTACCCCACAATATTTGAGATCAATCCTGTTATTCGGTCGAAAACTGATGAAACTTTTGCTGAATCAATAAAGCAAATCTGGTTTTTCTATACTATTATATATCGCCCATGTGAGTATGTGTGCAATCGTTTTTTATTTTACCCGTTTTTCTAGACAAAATACAAAACTAAAAAGAATGACTTTTTGAAATTTGATAAATATTAGGATGAAAAGACATTGTCCGAATATTGTCTGAATATTATCAAATTGGTCAAGAAGTTCAAAGTTAAGAATGCAAAAATATATGTTTAGACAGAAAATAGTTTAGCCAAATAAAAAAATTTCAGTTCAACGAACAAATCAGAGGGGCTAATTTTGTGCATAGCTAATACTCTTGCGATACGCAGGGGTTATACAAACTGGTACTAAACTTTTTTTTCCCGAAAACAACTTTGTTCACTAGGTTTCGGCGATGATTCTTGCTTCATTCTTGTTTCATATCTTGCTTCATATTAACTTCAAAATGCATTAAATAGTAGAGGTAACACACCTGATTGAGACAAAAAAACTTGTGGTCTGAAAACGGCCATCACTGATTTTTTTCAAATTAGAAGTTTTCTGCTTTCTCGGACTATTGTCCAGCTGTTTATTTTTTATTGTCTGATTTTCCGTAGCACGGGCTCTTTTTGAAGGTTCAGTTTTCTTTTAACTTCCTGAATGACCCTTCTAAAAACCCCATAGGTGAAATCTACAAGATTTTTTGCAAATTTTTTTTCAAGTTATTGAAAACTTTTTAAATGAATAAAAACAATTAATTTTTTTGAATACTTTTGCTCCGTTCAGTAATGTGCGCTGAATTATTCAATATGCGATGATAGCGCTCACGAGTAGACAACGTTGTCAACTCGGAACATAGACTTGTTCTTGTAAACAACTTGTCCAACAAAATCAATGGGCCATTTTCCAAAATCTGCCCTTTTGTGTTTTGAAACGCACGTTCTATTCACAAAATATTTTCATACTTGTTTCCAATTTCACTCCGGCTGGATAAATTTTTGTTGTTGTTTTTCCTCCGTTTTTCTTGGTTTTGTTTGTTTACCCAAGCCAATTTTAATTCTTTTTAAATTGCCCTTGTAACACAATATTGTAGCGTTAGATGAGAGAAACAGGTTTCGTATGCGTGTGAGTCTTCTGAGAGGGTAATTCAAAATTTTTCATAAAATTTTTCATGTTTTTGTGGAAACAATTTTTCTTGGCTTAACGGTTGTCTGCTCAAAAAATTCCAGCCCTTATTCCATTTTCTTTCTATACAATAGTCTTTAATTTTCTTATTTGTCATTTTTTTTAAACAAAAGCTTTTTCTAGACATTTTCAAAACTTTTTTTTGACTCTCCAAAAACTTTGTTTTGACTTTTTTTTTGCAATTTTTCGATAAATTTTTGTCCCATGGTTTGCCGTATTACGTTTTTTGTTGTTTTGCAAATGGTACGAAATTCTGTTTGCTTCACTGTAACAAATTTTTGCAGTGCACAGTTCGTGAAAGAAATGGTTCAAACATAGTCGGTTTACTATGGAAAAAGGGTGACAAATGCTACAAATTGGAACTCAGTGACATCCACGGTTTTTTGCAGCGCATTTCTGTTGAATTCTCATCATTAAACACGAGCTCCCTTTTTGGCTATTCAGTTTAAATTTTTTGGCTCAAATTGAGTCTCTTAAAAATTGACGTTGATGAGACGCTTGCACTGAATTTGATACAATTGTTAGAGCACAAATTGTTTTAGACAGCGCTTCATTATTCAGCTAATAAAAAGATATCAGGTAAATGATGAAGAATTTTTTTCTCAAAAAACTACAGTTGATGGAAAATGAATCTGATCTCTCCAGTTAAATTCTATCAAAAAATTTTTTCTACGCAAAAGCTAGCTAAACTGCTTGCAAACAAAATCACAGAATCATGAAAATTAACTATTTTAGTCAACAGCTTTGTGAAAGATGTCTGATAAAAAGAAATTTGGACTTCGTGAGCATCGATCGAATTAATTCACAATTAGAACTTAAGTTTCCTTAGTAAGACTTTGCCTTGTAAAAAACCGGTCCCCATTTTAACAATCTTTATCTGTAATGTAGAGCTCGTAAATTAAACAGCAAATTTTAAACAGCAAAATGAAAATTTTGGATCATGAATGTACCGGCAAATAAAAAGCCATATAATTGGTCTTACATGCATACAGATTTTGCCGGACAAAGTCAATTTTTTTGTTTATTATAGTTTTTATGTTAACCGTTTTGACGAAGGATGGCCTACTGCAATGCTCCTCCTAATAAAAATCGATGACCTTAACAATCAATAGTTCATCTAATGAAAGAGCTAAAGTACCATTGGAAAATTGCTGTAAAATGTTCTAACGCTTTAATAAATCACCCAAACTAAACTGCAAGCATATGTTCGACCCATGATTCGACTTTGTTTGACTATAGTCTTCGTTTGAGTGTCTTAATTTGCGACGAAAATCGGACATCATTCGACCGTGTCGGTCGAATCATGAGTCGAACACCTCAGCCCGGGATGGCATGTATCTGATGCTAACACCGGTGGATATTTGCTCAAATCATGAATCTGTTCAATATTGTCTGGTTTTTTGACTAGTAAGAAGGAAGGGTATTCCGTTTCTTCTTTCTTGACAAAAACCAGACAATATTGAATAGACTCATGATTTGAACAAATAGTCCACTTATGGCTCAGTAGGGATATTAAAACAAACACTGGGGTATTTTGTCCTAGGGGGATTTGGTCCTAAGGGAAATTTAGTCCTGGTGGATTTTATCCGGTGGGATTTTATCCTGGGTGATTTAGTCCGCGAGCGGATACATGTCACGCTTTCAGGGAGAGAGGGAGGGGTGTTGTCATGCCTGTTCTTGGCTCTCACCTCGCTGATGGATATCCTTCCGTCTCCGTCCACGTCATATGCGTCCATGTATGTCCTGATCATCTCATTCAGCGCCTCCTCCGATATCGCCTGAACAGATTCAAATTTCACACGGAATTACTTGAAAACCGTCCTTCAATCTCTTCAATTTTTTCCCCATGGTAAATATTGTAAAAAAAATTCACCACTATAAAAGACGAATTCAAGGGTTAAGCAAATGCAGATTTTGTAGCTAGTAATGAATTCAACTCCCCTTTGCAGAGGGGGAGGGGTATTTAAGAAGATTCCTTGGTTTGTTTATTACTTATGGAGATTATGTTAATATTACCGCTGACTACTCTACCCTGGAATTCATTATTTATGGAGATTATGGTAAACAGATATCCTTCTTTAAGTATATAGACACGGTTGTTGTAAACACGTCTGCTGATTGATGATAATTTGATTACTGACTGCGTAAAAAGCTGTCAGAAGAAGTTTTCACGCAATTTTTCTCTTTTCGAGTAAAGTTATGGTGCTTTTGCTGTCTAGCAGCAAGCAAACGCACATGTTGACTTTCAGTTGTAAGCCATAACATTCATGGGTCAAATTTGGTCTCCAGGAACTAGTGAATCCTTGCTTGAAAAGCCTCACTGTGCCGCATTTCCAGCCATTTTTACCAAGGGACAACAAATATGAGTCTGAAATTGGTATTGGTAACTTTCTTACCCGGTCATTTCCTGCTGTGATGAGTTCTTTGAAGAATGATTTGATCTCGTCGCCTTCCAAATAACCAGTTCCTGAAAAATATATGGCTGAAAATGGTTTAGACAAAGCAGTTGTCTCGATGAACTAAAACAGTGAATGTGAACTAAATGCGTGTAAGCGGAACTGTTAGGTTTACTCATTTTTAGAGCAGGTGAAAAGATTTTTCTAGGTTAAAAATATCCAATATTTTATAACAGTTAAATTCAAATCCCTTTAGACGTTCAACAGTATCTTAAATGTAGTTTGTTTGATCTTTGTGTAGTCTTGAATCAGGCAAAATGAAAATTTAAATATCAAAATCGGGTGAAGAAATGTCTAGAAGTAATGCGAAAACATGATTGTCCAAAAATCAAACCACCATCGTAGATCCTACTTCTAAACCCACAAAACAAACCATCTTCGTCAAACTTATTCCAAATTCTCCAGAATTCATCAGCTGTGATTTCTGCCTTGTGTTTGAACTCCTCCATGAAAGAGTCACTTTTCTTGTTCTTCATGCCGCCTGAAATCATTTCAACCAGGAGTGAACATCAAAGAAATAAGAAGGAAAACTCACTGTCACGGTCAAACTGTTGCCAGACTAGTGAAAACTCGTGACAGGTGAGCTGAAGATAACCACACGAAGACGTTTCATCTGCTGAACTCCATTTTCGTCTAGATTTTCCACTTTTCTTTCTCCAAATACGGTTCATTTTTAAAGAGTTCAAACTTTATATATTTTTTGTTGCTATTGTTTTGTTCTTGCTTACAACTGTTCGCTATTTTCCTTTGTATTTTATTCCAAATGAATGAAGTAGCGAAAACGTTTGTAGTTTAAATTGAAAACAGTTTTCTTTGCGATGATAACAATGATAACAAAACAACTCAACTAAGGGAATGCCATTAAATGCTAGAGGGTTAAACAGAGGCAAAAAGAAATGTTGAAAAGTTTTAGATGTTTTAGGATGTAAAATGACAAGTTGCGACGCAGAAAATTTGAAATAAATGAGTTCTGAAAAATTCAAAAAAACCGAGGAAATACGGCAGCAAAAATGTCAATAGTTGTCATAAATATTCTGATAAAAAGAATGAAAGAAAATATGCTACAAATTAGCTTGGACCAATTAGCTACCAAACTGAGAATAATTTATTTTGGGGCTAATTTTTTGTAGCTTCAAAGGCAAATATCATATGGTAAAAATGGATGAACTTTAGATGGATTTATGGTATTAATTTTTGATTTAATGGTCAGAGTGTATACCAACTTGAACTACTGATCAAGTGAGCTGAAAACTAAGTGTAATTACGGCCACCTTGTTAGAAGTTATCTCAGACTTAGGGGAAGTTAGAATTTATCTTTGATTTGAGGGAAGGGCGCGATACACTAAGTACATGGATATGTTTGAATTTGAAATGAGATAAAAAAAACAAGCCAACCAGTGCGTGTAATAAAAAGATAAGCGATTTGTGAAGATGTTTATGACTGCATGGGAATAAACACCTGATGGTTTCGCTGTGTGCCACTGTTCCCTAACAAGCTCAATTACCCGAAAGCTCACTTGTTCGACAATATTACTTAAGCTGTAAATTGAGCTTCCTCGACAAGGTCGATAGTTGTAATTTGAGTTTCCTCGACAAAATCTAATGCTTATTTTTGTCCATAAGTATGATGAAGAAAATGTTTAAAAGTGGTTTGAATGGTTTAAAATTGGTTTAAAGTGTTTGAAAAAAAAAACAAGCTGAACTCACTATTTGTAACGGAAAATTATGTTTTCTAGTATCGATTTTCAAATCAAATATTTTTTCTCTCCAATTTGGTTCTTGTTTTTAAGTTAAAATGTTTCAGTTTAAGTTCTATCTTTTAAGTTAAATTCAATTTAGAGGGTAGGTTTTTCGGTTTAACGGAAATCTCTTGAATAAGTTTTCAGAAAAACTATCTTTTTTTTCTGGCTCAATGGAGCATATATGTTCAAAGGGGGCTTCGGCACACTTGGCATATATCGAAATGAGGAGTGATTCCTTTTGAATAAATTAGCGTTTTCGGCGGCCAAAATAATGACAATTGACGGAAAAGGCAAATGCACTATAGTCATCATCGAAAGTCAATTTCTCAAACAAAGGGCTCATAATCGGTAAATGGCAATATGGTTGCTTAGCGTATAAGCAATCGAAAAAATTTGCCAAGTGGAAAAATGGATTTAGAAAATAAATCTTACTGATGCTTTCAGTAATTATTTCCTTTTCCTAAGATAATTCAAAGAAAATTAAACGGAACTTGCAACGACATAGCATCGCATTCCTATGATATAAAATTAAACGTCCACTAATGAAATGAAAAATAAAACAGCGGTAAATTAATGAGTAGCCTTTTATCTTGACCGTGAAGCACTTCTAACTGACATTTAGGCGTCAAGATACCATTTAAGGCGTGCAATTATCACCAAAAAGGCCTTCAAAACAAAAGTGCTTTCAGCTGCTTTTGACATTTTCGTTAAAATAATGGAACTTTTTGAAATAATTTCAAAAAATTTATGACGCTGCTTTTGTTTGTTGGGAAATGTTTAATTCTGAAGTTAATTTAACTAAATTGGATCTCATTAATTATTCCCCGCTAAATGTGGGGTGGGGGAGAGGTTTTTTTGTTTCTTAGTAGAAAATTAACAATTAAAATGCTTAACCGTTAATTTAGTTTTTTATTGGGGGGGGGGGGGGGGGGGGGAGAGATTTCGTACTGGTTTCCATGAGAGGGGGAAGGGGATAGTTAAAAATCTGCTCCAAAATGTAAATTGAATAAATCATAATTAGGCTCTTTTTCCTTTTCCCCCCACCTGCAAATTTTTACATGTAATTTTGTTGACCACATTGTCTAATTGTTATGAAAATTTACAGACTAATAAGGCCACGACAAACATATTTGGTCTTCATACTCAACCTCGTAAAACCACTCGTTACACTAATATATTGAAGCTCGTGTGAGGTGGGGGGGGGGAAGGAAATAGAGCCCATAATTATGTAATTTGATTTACGATTCATGAGCACTTTTTTAAGATCAACATTATGTAATTTGAGTTACGATTCATGAAATCCTTTTATGATTAAATTACAGAAAAGTATACAAAATTTTGAAAGAAAAAACCCTTAAAGTAATATTTTCTACTTAAGTTACTAGGAAATGTCTTTTTTTTCTGATGTTAATTTACAAAAACCTGCCCCAAGTAGTAAGTAGAATAAATCACAATTATGTTGTTTGACTGAGAATAAACAAACCAACCGAAAATGCGCGGAGTATATGAGCCAGCCAAAATGTTACGTCACTTCAATGAAATTTGCATGAATTTTGTAACTGTTACATAATTGTTACATAAATATTAACAAACACTTACGTACTATCGGCTGGTTTAAATACCAAGGGCTTATAACTTACAATTCACGAACAGTTTTTGCTACTAAATTACAGAACAATGTGCAATATATTGAAAAGAAAAGACTTTTGAAGTAAAATTTTCTACTTAAGTGTAGCCCGAAAGGACGATTTCACGGGCATTTCATGATCGCTTTTTTGGAATATATAAATTTCCCTTTTTTGAGGAGTTTCACAATCAAATTGTGAAACATCTTTTCTGAACACTTTACTACACAAAGAAGCAAAATAATATGTTTCGGCTGCAATAGTGGTACCACCTAGAAGTTTTAGAAAAAAAAACGGCCCTGAGCTGCAAAAAATAGAACTTCACGCAACAAAGTAATTCAGTTTGGAATGTGGAAAAAAATGAAACAGACTATCAGTAGACAGCCTGAATAGCCTCAAATAGATGCTCTGCCAATTGCAGAAATGCTAATATCTTATGAAACACTTGCTTTTGTGCTTCCTGAAATTCAAAACCTAATGAACTCTTTGAAAAAAAACATTTCAATTTTGCTGCTAAAAATGTGGTTTAGAAAGTACCGCGACCTGCTGATTTAAACTTAAAAAAATCTAAATTAAAATTTAACATTGGTCTACCAGAAATGCAGAAATGATGGGCAAGGCCAAAAAAGGAACCAAATGTGAAATATATGTATACAAAAAAATTTTAAAAGAATTTCTTAAAAAGACTCAAAAACGACAAGATTCATTGTTATAGGGTGAAACCTTGAATATTCCGACTGCCTTTTAGGTCTAGGGAGCAGTTTGTTTTTTAAAAATAAATGATTTTTTCAAAGTTTTATTTTTATTTTTGAAAGTTTTTGAAAACAATCTCCTCGCACACCGTAGAAAAAACGAAAAGATAATTTAAGCTCTTAGTTACGTAACAATTATGACAAGTAGTCTGCTTCAACCAATTTGGACCAATTTGACGGGTTAAGTCTCCGCTTACGCATTAATATCGCGAAACGTATCGCACAATAAATGTCTCAAAATGGTAGTATTAGCAATCTTTAAAACAACAATACACTTCGAATGATAAAAAAAACAATTCAAATCAACCGTACTATCCCTCCTCCCCTAAATTATTCACCTTAGAATATATGTATACCGTACTATCTCTCCCCCCCCCCCTCTTAGAATGCCATCCCAAACATATTATTTCTGAAAATCATAAAAACTGCTTGTAACAAGGCAAAACCTTGAATGTTCCGACAGCGTTGAAGTTTTGAATTCAAATTATGCTTTGAATTTAAATTAAAACAGTTGATGAATTTTTCAAAAAACGGAAAAAATTGTAAACGGTTTTTGATGTTTTTTTTTGAAAATGATATCTCCACACGCTATATAAACTGCAAAGTAAATTATCTTTCATGTGCCAAAGTTTTAAATAGAATAAAAAGCATGCCTCATTTCAATTTGGAACAATTTTGTATATTAAAAACGCTTACGCGTTATTTATATGAAATATATCGCGCGTTAATTGTCCCAAATTGGCCACATTGGCATTCTTTAAACAGGGGAAAAAGAGTCATAGGTAAGATAGCTTTTTGAAATTATGCTTGAAACAACATTTTTTTTTGAATTATTTTTTAAACATCCGTCGGAAATTGCTAGTTACAAAGTCGAATACTGTCTGGAGAAAAAAAACCACACTCGAGCACAAATATTCCGTCACTTTCTTCGATATTCTGAACAATTATGGAAAAAGTATGCATTTCAAACAAAACGCACAAACAAATTAGTTTCCACTATATTTCAGGTATGATAAGTTTTTGGATTGCATATGAGTGCTGTTACTGACCAAATTAATGTACTTTAAATCAGTTTTCCCTATTATAACTGTTAAATTTGAATAAATCTGAGCTATACTCAAAAACAGTTACTAAAAATAATAGCTTCCCCTCCTCAATTGCCAAACGGGGGATATTGTATGGCTGATCCCACAATTTTTTCAAAAAGTACTAGTTAAACCGTCAAAGTTTTTCTGAGAAAAAAACCGCCCCGAGCACAAATGTTCCTTCATTTTCTTCATAAACTGTCGGAACAGTAAAAAGGTATCTAAACTTGAACCTTGACACTACATCGACCGAAAGACAATCAAATGATAGCAAAGTACGCATTTAAACAAGGCTTAGCTGGTTACTGTTCAATTAGCACAGAATTTTCCAATCATGGACTTAAAAATAATATCACAAAAAAGTTTCTTTTTGAAATTATTGTCGTTTTTTTCTGCGTGGTGTAATAAAAGGTTCTGAACAAAAATCAAGAGTTTAGGCATTTATGATAATTATAGTAAAACAAGCAAATTGATCGCAGTTTTTGTAGAAAAACGACTAGAAAACTAAAAAAAATCAAAAGAATTTTCTCATCCAATTTTTTGCAGTTTTTTGAATTGGCGACTTTTTAATTTTCAAAAAGGCGCCGAAATACTCGGAAAAACTAATTTCAGTCGAAAGCAATTGAAAGCTTTTCAGGGATTTTTTTAGCTACTTCTTTTGCAAAAATGGGGATTTTCGTTAAAAGGAACAAATTCCTCTTATGCTTAAACTATGATTTATTCCTTAATAAGGGGAATTTTTGTTGCTAGGTTCACGAAAGGGATATGACTAAAGGGATTCATTTTAATCTTAAGAAAAAACTATTGTAAGCATGCTCGCTAATTCGAAATTAGACAAAAAAATCAAAAAGTTCAAACGTGTGTTTTTCTCGACACCGAGAAAATTTTTTTTGATATCGTCCGAATCACAACTGAAAAGTTTTTAAAATGATTTATCACCCAACTTTTTCTAATGATTATTTGTGGTAGCTGAGTTTGCGTGGAAAAAAAAGAAAAAAAGAATAAAACTGAAACACACCCGAATACAAAGTTCCTCCTCAATCTTCAAATGGTCAGAGCAATAAACTTAGGCATTCTATCTTATACTACTTCTCTTATATTCTACCCGATGGGAACATACACTAAAATATTCTATCCTACGCCATTCTACTGTATTATTTTAAGTTAACTAACAATTAGTTTTTGGTTTGCTATACGGACACATTTGTAGTCTCTATATTGGTAGACTCAAAATCCTATAGACTCAAATTTAACCTCGGCAATAAGCCGACCTCTCCAAATACTCGACTATTATTTTGATATCAAAACAAAAGCATATAGCGGATGTAACTAATTCAAATCCGTAACTTCCAGCATTTAGATGAGAAAGAATTTTAGTGAGAAGAAAAACACCAATTCTCAAAGAAAAACAGAGGACGAAAACGGCAAAAATCACGGGAAATGTTCAAGATGGAGCGCTGATCGATCAACTTATGAATCAGCAAAAATTGAAGAAAAAAAA